CCCACCTCCTCGCTTTTGAGGGTCCCACCTCTTGCCAGTCAGGAGTTCCCCAAATCCGCCACAGCACGCAGGATCCAGGAGGGCGGGAATCGGGAATGAGCAGCAGCTCTCGATCTCACCCTGGGGGGAGGGATTTGGGGGAGAACCCCAAACTTGGGGGTTATGGGGGTGTGGGGTGTCCTGGAGGGGTTTGAGGGGAGGGAATTTGGGGAGGGGGCCGGTGGGGGTTTGGGGAGGGGTTGGGGGAGATTTGGGGGGTTGAGGGAGTTTGGGGGATCTAGGGGGGATTTGAGGGGGTCCTGGAGGGGTCTGGGGGAGATTGAAGGGGTGGGAGGGGTCAAAGGGAGGGGATTTGGCGGAGGTTTGGGGGATCAAAAGGGGGGTTTGGGAGGGATTTGAAGGAAGCTAAGGGGTCTTGGGGGGTTTGGGTGGGATTTGAGGGGAGTCCTGGAGGGATTTTGGGGGAGGTCTGGGGGGTTCCTGGAGGGATTTTGGGAGGTTCCTGTGGAAATCTGGGGATGGTGGGGGGATCACCTGGAAAACCTCCTGCTCTGTTCCCAGGATGACGATGCCACGGGAATCCAGGGGGGTGGGACCGCGGGGCAGGGGTCGCGTCAGCCGCCGGTGGCAATCCAGGCCCAGGGTGACCGAGTGGCCGGACACCGACCACGACACCCGGTGCCACCTGGAAATCCAGGAGTTGGGATAATTGTTGGGTTGTTCAATGGATTTGGGACCACTGGGATGATCCCATCGAGTTGGGCCCACCCCGATTTCCTCTCCAATTCCCCACCTGCCGTCAGCCAAGTCGACCCCCCGGAACACGGGATTGTCCTCTGGGAAGAGCGTCCGGTGCCGATCCCGGTAGAGGAAGGTTGGGGCCGATCCCAACTCCAGCCCCAGCTGCCGGATCCCATCTCGGTCATAGAGGGAGAGCAGGAACGTCCGAGTCCCAGCCTGGGGCCGCACCAGTGCCACCACCGAGAATTCCCGTGGGAACAGCCCTGTGGAGCCGGAATGGGATACTGGGAATGGCTCCATGGGGATACAAACATGGGATAATGGGAATGGCCCTGTGGGATAGCAGGAATGGCCCCATGTGGGATACGGGGAATGGCTCTATGTGGATAGCACGGGATAGTGGGAATGGCCCCATGGGATATGACCATGGGATACCGGGAATAGCCCCATGGGACACTGGGAATGACCGTAGAGGATACTGGGAATGGCTCCATGGGATATGACCCCTGGATCCTGGGACTGACCCCATGGGGCACTGGGAATAGCCCCCCGTGTCTGCCTCACCCGGAAAGAGGTTCTGAGCGGGAACACTGAGCGGGAGCTGCCGGGACAGGCGGAAAGCGCTGGAGCCGGGACAGGATCCTGGAACCTTCCGCACTCCGGTGGGGAGGGAATGGAGCTGGAACAGCTGCAGGACGTCCACAGGAGGGGCTGCAATGGGACACATGGGGGCGCTGGGGGGGATCTGGGAATTTTGAGATCCAAAGGGGGGCTCTGGAATCCTAGGTGGGGTTCCAGGATCCCACAGTTCCACCGGGATCGAGGAATTTCGGGATCCAACAGGACTCTGGGATCCAACAGCTCTGCCAGGATCCAACAGCACCAGGATCCCATGGGAGCTCTGGGATCCCCCCCGGAGCACCAGGATCCATTTAGAATACCAGTATCCAATGGGATCAATGGAGAGTCGGGGATGCCACAGCTCCACCGGGAGGCCCAGGATCCAACTGGGATTCATTGGGAACACCAGGACCCCACTGGGAACCCTGGGATCCAACAGTGATCCATTGAGATCCACTGGGTACCAATGGGAACACCAGGATCCACCTGGGATCCATAGGGAGCTCTGGGATCAATTGGGAGCCCCAGGATCCAACTGGGATCCATTGGGAGCCCCAGGATCCATCTGGGATCCACTGGGAACTCCAGGGCCCCTCTGGAAGCTGTGGGATCCCCTGGAAGCTCCAGGAACCCCCTGGGACCCCCACCCACCGACCCCATGGGGATCCAGTGGTTCCAGGAATCCTGGGAACCACCCCAACCCCCTCCCCCAAACTCTCCCCACTCTTCTCACCACATTCCCAACACCTGCAGAATCCATTGAATCCATTGGCAGCCGTGGCCAAGGAATGGGAAGGGGGGTGTCTGGAATTCTCATCACCCCCCCAAAAAAGGGGAAGGGGGCTCGTCCCACTCCTCCTCCCACTCTCCCCAAAAAATCCCACCTGGAACATCCCAAAAGTCCCACCTGAAACATTCCAAAAGTCCCACCTGGAACCCACCAGAATTTCCAACCTCGGGGGGGTCTAGGATTCTCATCACCCCCCAGAAATAAGGGGGGGGGGGAAGGGGTTCGTCCCACCACCCCCAAAATCCCCAGTCCCCAAAATCCCAAGTGCAAAACCTCTAAAATTTTCCACCCCCGGGAAGGAGCGGCGGGGGGAGGGGCGGTCCTACCCCCTCTCCCCACCCTCCACCCCTCCCCCTTTTTCCGGCCCCCCCCTTCCCCTCCCCATCAGTAACAGAGACACCTTTTCTTCTCCCGCTTTTCCCGCAGCATTCCTGAATTCCCGGGGGGGGAATCCTGGGATTTTTCCACCCCCCCTCGCCCATATTCCCCCGAGGGTCCGGAAGGGCCTCCGGGACCTCACGGTGGGGGGGCGGGGATGGAAGGAGGGGATCCCAAAATTCTCGGGGTCTCCCTGGACTGCTGGGGCCTCCCGGGGAATTCCCAGGTGATCCCAGAATTTCCCCAGGTGATCCCGTAGAACCCATCCCCCCAAAATTCCCGTGTCTCATCTGGATTGCCCCCAAATTCCTGGATTCCCCCCCCCCTTCCCCCCCGATATTCCAGGATCCCTCCTGGATCCCCTCAAATTCCTGGATTCTGCCCAGATTCTCAGATTCCCCCCCAAGAAAATTCCTGGGTCTCACCTGGATTCCCCCCCAAATTCCTGGGTCCCTCCTGGATCACCCCAAATTCCCAGATTCCCCTAAAATTCCCAGATCTCCCCTAAAATTCCCAGATTCTCCCCTAAAATTCCTGGGTCTCCACCAGATTCCCAGATCTCACCTGGATGCCCCCAGATTCCTGGATTCTTCCCCCAAATTCCCAGATTGTCACCAAATTTCTGGCTTCCCCCCTAAAATTCCCAGGTTCCCCCAAATTCCCGTGTTCCCCTCAAATTCCCAGATCCCCCCAGCCCCCCCGATTTCCTGAATTCCCACAAAATTCCCCCTCCCCACGGTGACCACAGGATTGGAAACAGCCCCAGGGCATCTCCCAGTATGGCCCAGTTATGGCCCTGGGGCATCTCCCAGCAGCTCCCAGTTTGCCCAGTTCCTCCCTCACAGGGGGTGCCAGGAAGGCCAGGCCTGGCTCCAGCCCCGGGATATCTCCCAGTATGGCCCAGTAGCTCCCAGTACGGCCCAGTTACGGCCCCAGGGCATCTCCCAGTATATCCCAGTTACAGTTCTGAGCCATCCCCCAGTAGCTCCCAGTTTCAGTCCTGGGGCATTTCTCAGTATGGCCTAGTAGTTTCCAGTATGGACTAGTCCCAGTTCCAGTCCCGGAGCATCTCGCAGCATCTCCCAGTATCTCCCAATACGTCCCAGTCTCTCCCAGTTCCAGCCCTGGGGCATCTCCCAGTATTTCCCAATATGTCCCAGTCTCTCCCAGTACCAGTCTCAGGCATCCCCCCTGCTATGCCTCCCAGTGCTCCCCATAACAGCTCCCAGTGACAGCTCCCAGTTCTCCCAGTGGTCCCAGTTCCCCTAGTGTTCCCGCTCTCCCAGTGCTCCCAGTTCCCTCAGTTCCCCAGTCCCTCCAGGTGCCACAGCCCAGACCAGCACTCCCAGTGCTCCCAGTATCCCCAGTCCCTCCCAATCTCCCCTAGTCCACTTTCTTTCCCAGTCCCATCAGTCCCCCCCATCCCTCCCAGTGTTCCCAGTTGCTCCCAGTCCCCCCCAGTCCCTCCCAGTATTCCCCCCAGTGCCACCACCTGAGCCAACACTCCCAGTGCTCCCAGTATCCTCGGTCCCCCTTCTTTCCCAGTCCCCCCCAGTCCCTCCCAGTGCTCCCAGTCCCACCTGGAGCCACAGCCTGGACCAGCACTCCCAGTGCTCCTAGTCCCCCCCCCAGTCCCTCCCAGTCGCTCTGAGTTGCTCCCAGTACCTCCCAGTATCCCCAGTCCCACCTGGTGCCGCCGCCCGGGCCAGTGCTCCCAGTGCTCCCAGTATCCCCAGCAGGGTGAGGGGCAGCCCGGGGCCCGCCGGGGCCATGGCGCGGGGGAGGGGGAGTCGCGACAGGGACTCCTCTATCGCGACAGGGAATCGCGATCGGGACGTGGCGGTGCCGGTCACGATCGTGCCCCGAGTGCGGCGGCACCGTGAGTGACCCCCCCAAAAAAACCCCCGGACACGCCCCCCCAACACCGCCCGGGCACGCCTCTAAAACCTGGACCCCTCCCAAAAAACACCCCGCCGGAGACGCGCCCCAGAACCGGGAACCCCCAAAACACACCCTGGCCCCGCCACCCCAAAACCACGTCCCTCAAACCTCGTTAACCCCGCCCCAAAACCAGGACCCCAAAACACCCCACCGGCCCCGCTCCCCAAAACCTCTCCTGACCCTCGCCTTCAAAACCATCCCCAGCTTCCCCCGACGACCGTGACCCCTCAAAAATTTTCCCCTCCCCCAAATTCCTTCAGGGTTTTGGGGCCTTCCTGGAATTTTGGGGCCCCCATATTTTGGGGGTGTCGACTAGGGCCCCAAAACCCACCTGAAATCAGCCCAAAATTTGACTCCGAAGCAGCAATTTTAATCACTGAAAATCCAAAGCTTTTTTTTTTTTTTTGGGGGGAAGGGGCAGGATTTGTGGGGAGGGGTGTCAAATTTAGGGGGGAAGGGGTGGAATTGGGGGGGGGATACAATAAAAACAAGCCCCTCCCCCCTCTTTTCCAGTGGTTTTTTGCCCCCCCAATTTGGGGGTCAAAGTGCTCGGAGGGGGGAGTTAAAACCGCGGGGGGGAGGGGCAAAAACTGGAGGGGAGGGGAATTGGCAGGGGAGGGAATTCCACAACTTCCAAAAGAAAAAAGAGAAAAATGGGGGGGGAGAAAGGGGAAAAACTCCCAAAATATTCCACCCCCCACCCTCCCCAAAAAAAGCACCTGGAGAAAAGCTGGAAAGGGAGGACAGGGGGAGAGCTGGAAAAGAGGGAAAAATGGCACGGAAAAGTAGGAAAAAAAGGGGGACAAAGGGGAAAAGGAGGAAAAAATGGGGGGAAAAGGGGGGAAATCTGGGCCCTTCCCCCCTAAAAAACTCAGGGAAGGAGCTGGAAAATGGGGAAAAAAGCTGGAAAATGAGGGGGAAAAAGGCTGGAAAATGAGGAAAAAAAGCAAAAAAAAATGTGGGAAAAATGTGGAAAAGGGGGAAAATGTTTGAAATTTGGGCCCTCCCCCCCAAAAAATACCTCTGAGCAGGAAAATGAGGGAAAACACTGGAAAATGGGGGGAAAAATATGGAAAATGGGGGAAAAAAACCTGGAAAAGGTTTATTTTACAACTGGATTTTTTGAGGAGGGTCGCTAAAAAAAATGGGGTGTTTTGGGGGGGATTTTTGGGGTTTTTTTCAGGGGATTTTGGGAGTTCTCAGGAGAGCTGGTGGGGGGCTTCGAGCATCTCCATGAGGAACGTGTCGATGGGGGTGTCCCCGATGAGTTTGAAGAAGAAAAGATGCTCCAGACACTTGAGGCCGATGGACCTGAGGGCCGGGAGACGCAGGAGGAGCTTGGCAAACCTAGAGTTTGGAGAGGATCCATGGGAATTCTCGGTAATTTCAGCCTGGACAGCCGTCGAAATCGTGGGGGAAATGCTCCAAATACAACCAAAAATCGACCCAAATCCACCCAGGATTGCACCCAAAATGACGCTCAGCATTCCCCAAGTCATGCCTAGAATTTCCCAATTACTAAATCTCCCAAAATTCCCAGAAATTCCATCCAATTCCCACGAAATTCTAAGAAAACCCTGGCCCTAACAGCCGTGGAAATTGCAGGGAAAAGGCTCCATATCCACCCAAAATTGACCCAAAACCCATCACAATTCCCACCCAAATCCCCCCCCCCCGGAGCCCCAAACCCCCCAAAACCCCCCAGAATCGCCAACCCCCAAATCCCCTCAAATCCCCCAAACCCTTCCAAGTCCCACCGGCCCTGCTGCTCCGGGTACTTCTGTTTGCAGTAGGATTCCAGGGAAGCATAAACTTTCTCCCGCAGCAGTTCCACCTCCGACGGGTTAGAGAGGCCCTTGGCATCTGGGGGCGGGCCCAGTACGTCAGGGACCCCAAAAATTCAAAAAAACCCCATAAAAATACCCCCCAAAAAATCCCCCCCAGAACTCCCCAAACTTTCCCCCCCCCGCTCCCGAAACTCCTGAACTTCCCAAGGGTTTTGCAGCCCTGAGGGGTCTAGGGGGGCCCCATAATTATCAAAGAAACCCCGAAATTATTGGAGACATCCCCAAAATTCCAGTAACCCATCTAATGATATCCTCAAACCTCACAAAAATCCCCTCAAAACCAGCCCTGGTACCCTCTGAACTTCCCAAGGGTTTTCCAGTCCTGAGGGGGTTCCAAAGGATCTTGGAGGGCTGGAGAGGGTCTCAAAATATCAAGAACCCCGAAAAGTTATGAAACCCCCAAAATTAAAAAAAAAAAATCCCCCCAACCCACCTGAATTCCCCCAAAACCCACCCAAATCCCCCTCAATCCCCCTAAATTCCCCCAAATTCCTCCCCAACCCCCCCTCAAAGCCCCTCCAGACCGGGGTTGAACAGGATGATGGCTCTCAGACACCCCAATTCTGTCTTGTCCATCCTCATATCCCGCATTTTGGACACCAGCTCCGTCAGGACCCTTTTTGGGCAGAGAATTTTGGGATTCAGGGGGATCTCAAAATTTTAGGGACCCCAAAACACCCCCGTTTGTAGAGATTTTAAGTGTTCAAGGGGGGTTGGGAAGATTTGAGAGGATTTGAGGGAATTTTGGGGTTAAGGGGGGTCCTAAAATTTCAGGGACCCTCCAAAACCTCACCAGGGGGGTCCTAAGATTAAGGGGAAGCCCCAACACCCCCCCCATTTTTAGAGACTTCAAGTGTTCAGGAGAGATTTGGAGAGAGATCCCAGAGGAAATTAGAATCGGGGTGGGATTTTTTGGGGAATTTCGGGCTTTTCGGACTAAGAAGGGTTCCCAAATTTCGGGGAACCTCCCAAACCTCCACCAGGGGGGCCCTAACTTTGGGGGAAACCCCCCAGATCCCCCCATTTTTACAAACTTCAAGTGTTTGGGGAGGGGGGTTGGGGGGGATCAGGGGCTTTCAGGTCAGGATTTTTTGGGGAATTTCCAGCTTTTCGGGCAAAGGGAGGTCCCAAGAATTTGGGGGCCCCCCACCTGTCAAAGATGGCCCCGACTCCGGCACTGTGGGCGCTGTTCCTGTGCACGTGGAGCCCCGTGGCCAGGAGGATCCCGTCCTTCACTGCGATCGAGCGGTGCGAGAACGACGCGATCAGCAGCTCGTTCCAGCCTGGAACACCCCGGGAATTCCGGGTCAGGACGACAAGAAAACCCCATGGGGAACTCGGAAAAATATGGCAAAACACCCAAAATGTATGGAAATTGCCCCAAAATCTAAAACGAGACCTAAAAACTACAGGAAAAAGACCAAAGCGTGTGGGGTGGGAGGGGAGGAGCAGCTCATTCCAGCCTGGAATGCCCCAAGGAATTCCTGGGAATTCCGGATCAGAATAGCCCCCAAATGCCCTCCAAATCTCCCCAAATCGCCCTCTAAACCCCCTCAAATCTCCTCCAGACCCCCTCAAATCCCCCCAAAGCTCCTCAAATCCTCCCAAAGCTCCTCAAATCCCCCCAAAGCACCCCAAATCCCCCCTTCGCCTGCCTGGAGGAGAATGACCTGGTCATCCAAAGGGATCTCCAAGAAGTGGAGGACCCTCTTGGTCCTCTTTAATCCCCCCAACCCCCCCCCGAACTCCTCCAGACCCCCCAAATCTCCCCCAATCCCCTCCAACTCCCTCCCCAGGCCCCCCAAATCCCCCTATATCTCCCCAAATCCTCCCTAAACTCCCCCAAATCCCCCTCAAACCCTCCCCAAATTCGTCAACCCCCCCAAAATCACCCCTCACCTGCCCGGAGGAGGATGACCTGGTCGTCCAAGGGGAGCCCCGAGAAGTGGGGGACCCTCTTGGCCCACTCGACGAGGGTGAAGAGCTGCTTGTCGGCCGCCTGGCAGATGTTGGTCACCGGGTCATTGGGCTGAATTTTGGGGGGGGGGGGGTGGCATTTGGGTCAAATTCAGACCCCCCCTGAAATTTTAACCCCCCTCCCCCAATGGTCCTGATGCATAAAATCAAAAAAAAAATGCAGTTCCAGGGTGGAAACTCCCCTAGAATCTCCCTGGAACACCTGAGTTGTCCAAAAATTGCCCCAAAATCCCATCCTGGAGCCCACAATCTCCCCAAAATCCCATCCCAAATCCACGCAGGACCCCCCAAATCCATCCTAAACCCACCAAATTTACCCCAAACCCATCCAGGACCCCTCAAATCCACCTGAAAGCCACCCAGGACCCCCCCAAATCCAGCCCAGATGCCCCCAAACCTACCCCAGACCCCCTGAATTTACCAAAAGCCATCCAGGACCCCCCAAATCCCCCCACAACCCACCCAGGACACTCCAAAATCCTCTCAGACCCACCACCCTAGGACCCTCCAAATCCATCCCAGACCCCTCAAAAACCCCGTCCCAATTCCCCCCAAAAATCCCTCCCCAGACCCTGAAATCACCCCAAAATTTCCATGGGGAGTTTTTGGGATCCCAAAATTTTAAGGGGACCCCCCCCAGACGCACCGAGGTGCCTCCAGGCCCGGCGCCATCATCCGATTTGGGTTCCACGGCCAGTTCTGCCTCGAGCAGCTTCTCCACCGGCATCTCCTCGTTAGGGGGGACCCCGAAATCCCCCTCCCCCTCCTTGTCCTTCCCACGCTGCCGCTCCTCCTGCACCGCTGGAAAAGCAGGAAAAACCGTGGGAAAACAGGGGAAAAGGGGGGAAAAAGAAAGGGGAAAATTTGGAAAAAAAAAAAAAGATATTTTTTTGAGGGGTGGAAAATGGGAGTTTGGGGGGCGAAAATGGGGAAAAAACGGAATTTTGGGGTGGTTTTTTTTCACGATTTCGTCCCTCCTGGTTTGTCACAGTTACCTCCCCGTCACCTCCCGGTCCCTCCGTGGTACCCCCAAACACCATTATTACCCCCCAAAATTGCAGTTTTTTCCCATTTTCGCTCACAAAACCCCCATTTTTCCCACTTTTTTTTCCCAGTTTTTCCCTCTTTTTTCCCCTATTTCTCCGCTCCCAGGGTGTCCCCAGCTGCCCCAGTATATCCCAGTTCACCTTCCCTCTTCATGCCGGTGGCCAGGCACTTCTGGTAGCGGCAGTACTGGCAGCGGTTCCTCTGCCGCTTGTCGACGACGCAGTCGCGGTTGTCGCGGCACGTGTAGGTCAGGTCCTTGCGGATCGTCCGCTTGAAGAAGCCCTTGCAGCCCTCACAGCTCGACACCCCGTAGTGCTTCCCTGGGAGGGGCCGAAAACAGCCCAAAAATCAGGTTAAAAACGTCCAGAAATCGGCAAAATTCAGAAAAATTTGACATTGTTCCAAACGGCCCCAAAATGCACCTAAAACGGCTCAAAAAGGACCCTATATCATCCTCAAAAGGACCTTCAAATCATTCAGAGTCCACAAAGCAAAGTTAACCAAAACAATCCCCCAATATTTAACCCCAAACCCCCTATTTTTAACCCAGAATCCCCCCTTTCCACCCTCAAACGCCTCATTTTTAACTCCAAAGCCCCTACTTTTGAACCCAAACCCCCCATTTCTGACCCCAACCCCCCCCGTTTTTGGGTTCCTCTCCCCCCTTCTGACCCCAAACCCCTCTAAACCCCCCATTTTTAACCCTATCCCCTCATCTTATGGGTTTTCCCCCCCCTTTTTGGGTTCCATCCCCCCATTCTTAATCCCAATCCCCCCCATTTCTGACCACAAATCCTCCATTTCTTACCCCAACCCCCCCATTTTTTACCCCAAACCCCCCCATTTTCTGCCCCAAACCCCTCATTTTCTGCGTTTCTGGGGTGTTTTTTGGTTGTTTTTGAGGGGTACCCGAGGATCTGTCCCCGCAGATGGCGCACAGTCTCTTGCCGGGGCCGTGGGGGCGGGGGGGGCGCAGGGCGGGGTCCCCGAATTCCCAGGGGGCTTCACGTCATCCGAGCTGGTCACGGGGGAGTCCTGACAGCGGCACCGTCGAGTTGATCTGCATGGGGGCAGGGAATTTGGGGGCGGTGGGGACCCCAAAATACGTTAGGGAGACACCAAAATACATCAGGAAAGTCCCAATAATTTTGCTAGACCCTAAATAATTCAGGGAGATCCCCAAATCCATCAGGGACTCCCCAAATCCTCCTAAAATCCCCCCAAAACCCCTCAAATCTCCCCACCCCCTCTATGACACCTCAAACTCCCCAAATCTGCCTCAAATCCCCCCAACCCCCTCAAGCCCCCTGTGAGTCCTAACCCCCAAACCCCTACAGCCCCTCCAAAACGCCCTCAAATTCTCCCCCAAGCCCCCCAAATCCCCCTCAAACTCCCCCAAAAGCCCCCTCACCTGGGGCTGCTGACAGGCCCGAAGGCCAGGGCAGGGGTCGTGGGGACCCCTGGGACCCCAAAGATGAGCTGATGACGGGGAAGGGGGACCCCAAATTGGGGGGCCAGGGGACCCCATGGGGGCCGGGCGGGCTCCTGGGGAGGAGGGGGAGGGGAGGCGGCGCTCGAGCTGTCGGGGCTCCGGCAGTCTGGGTGGGGAAGAGGAAAAAAAGGGGGGAGACCCCCCGAAATCGGGTCAGGGACCCCTGAAATCACCGCAAAACCAGACTAGGGACCCTCAAAATCACCACAAACACCCAAATATCCCATCAGAGTCCACTGAAATCCAGTCAGAGACCCCCAAATTCACCCCAAACACCCCGATGTCAGGTCAGAGACCCCCAAAATCAGGTCAGGGACCCCCAAAGTCACCCCAGACCCCTGAAATCTGGTCCTGACCCGACATCGGCTCAGGGACCCCCGAAATCAACCCAGACCCCCAAGAATCAGGTCAGGAACCCCCGAAATCCCATGAGGAACCCCCAAAATCACCCCAGACCCACTGAAATCCCATCAAGGACGCCCCCAAAGCCCCCAACTCCACCCCCGGACCCACAACCCTCACCCAGGAACCTGCAAAGTCACCCCAGAACCCCCCCGGACCCCAAAAACCCACCTCAGCACCTCCAACCCCCCAACCCGGGACACCCCAAACCCACTCCAAGACCCCCAAATCCCCCAACTCCTCCCCCAGAACCACCCAAATCCCTCCCCGGACCCCCAGCCCAAACGCAGGGCCCCCAACCCCCTCCCGGACTTCCCAAACCCACCCCAGAACCCCGAAACACCCCTGACCCTCCTGGGACCCTCAAAACCCCTCCCCAGCCCTCCTGTCCCCCGCCCGGGTCCCGTGTCCTGTGTCCCGCTGACTGCGGTCGCTGTCGCCCATCCTGCGCTGCCGGGTCCGGGGGTCTCGGGACCCCCAAATCCGCCCCCTCCCCTGGGGCTGCCTCCCCGCGTCCTCGGCCCTGCCTGCCGCCGCCGGGCCGCCACGGGCCCACAATGCACCGCGTTTCCGCAGGAAGCAGCCGCGTCGACGCCGCCGAAGGAGAAGCTTCCGCCCGACCTTCTGCCCGCTTTCCGCGAGCCAGATCTCGCGACAACTCGCGTGAAGCCGCGGTTTCACGTCGGTTAAGGGCAAGATCTGCCAGCTTTCTCCAGATTCGGGCAGAGCCTCCCAAACACAGCTCGGGATTTCCCCAAATATAGTCTGAGACCACCAAATACACCCTAGGACCCCCCCCAAGCGAATCTGGGGACCTTCGGACTCCGCCTCGTATTCTGTCCGCCCCCGCCCTGCGCTGCCCCTCCCGGTGCGCCCCGCCCGTCGTTGGGGGCTGCGGCACCCCCTGGCCCTTCCCGCGCTGCCGAGGCTGCCGGGGAGGGACCGGGCTGTGCTGGGGGGAAAGGGCTTTGGTCCTTGTGTTCGAGTGCGGCAGTGGGAGGGCGTTCCAGGGCGGTGCAGGGGGGGCCGGGTGACCTCACAGATGGCGCGGTGGGGCCCGAGGGCTGCAGCTCTACCTGGGTTTAGCGGGAGAAGCTGGGACTTGGCATGGTGCGATTTGGGGTGGGGGGGGTCGTGTTTTTCTGGTTTCCTTTTCGACCACTGCGGTGCTGGGCAGAAAAGGCTGGAAAAGAAAGACTGGCAGTGGCTTCCCAATTTACTTTACAGACATTTGCCACCTGCAGAGGAGGCACTAATCCCCACGCAGCTGAGCAAGGGCTGGGGGGAGTGCAGCAGGGTGCAGCGATCTGGGGCGGAGCTGTGACTCAGGGGAGGGTGTGCGCAGTCCCCCAAAACCCGCACCCAACCCCAGCCCAAAAGAAGCCCAGAGCGAAGCACCATGAGCCAGCGCAGGTCCCGGGCCCCGCCTGAGAACAGCCCCTGCCTCCTGCTCACTCCGGCAGCGCCCCTCGGCTGGCGCCGGCCCCTTTCCCCGGCTCGCCTGTGGTTCCATGCACCCTTCTGTCCTCTCCCATGCGAGACAGCCCCAGGTGTGGGCAGTGAGGATGACAAAGGAGCGGGACAGCCCCAGGTGTGGGCAGTGAGGATGACGAGGGGTGGGCCCTGCTGAGTGGTTATCTGGGCCACTTTTTGTAGAGAGCTTTTGCCGAGGAGCAGTCTTTCAAGGAGTAACGGTGAGAGCGTCTCGCTGGGGCAAGCACCTGAGGTACCTGGATCATTGCTCAAGGAAGAGGCCGAGGGATGAGCCGTGTGCCGGGAAACAGCGCAGGAGAGGGGAGCAGCGCACGTGAACAGGTGGGGGAGTACAGAGAAGATGCAGCTCGGACTGGAGGAAGAGCTTGGAGGTTTCTTTTACTGATATGAACATGCAAAGCAGGGAGGGAGGTGGGATATAAGCACTCTAGGTGCTCAGGCAGGTGAGCCAGGACTTAGGGGAGGGACTAGCTTTCCTGAGCACTAAAAGTTCTAATTAATTGCTTCTCAGGAGCAGTCGAGAGGAGTTTCTACTTTGGGGCTGGGCTCCAAAGGAAGGCAGGTGAAACTGCTGTGGGAAGCTTACTGCTGTAACCAGGCAGTAGTTTACACTGGTAGTTTTGCTACTAAAACTAGGGAGTTTTGTGTTCTCTGTGCACAAAACCTGCTGGTATTTGTTAAACTTACTTTCTGAGTTATGCATTGCTTGATAAACCCTTGTCTCTTTCCCTTTTCCTAGAGGGATGATTGGTCTTGCCTTGGAAGCAAGAGAATGTCCCGGTGTGCGTGCTTTCGCCATTTTTTATCCCAGCTTATCTTTGAGCCTTACTTAGTTCTGTGTGTGATTTTTTTTGGCATTGTGGGAAGGGCCCAACTTGCCCTAATATTGGCCTGTTTCCTTCTCTGTGCAAAAGGACATGTTTCAGCAAGTGTGATGGTGCTGGTGCCACCTGCAGAGCTCTCTGGCTGCCTGAGCCCTCTTTTCCTTTTCTTTTGTGGCTGTAATTGGCACCTGGATAAGTTTAGAAGAGCTGTTAAGTTCCTTGCCTGTGTAAACGTGCTGGTAATACCAGGGAGGGACATGCTTGAGGCAGTAGTGATAACTGGGCTAGGAGCAGAATTTCTGAAGGACTAACAATAGGTAAGCGTCCAAGAACTTGGCTGTTTTGAAGGCATCAGAGTTTTATTGCTGCCTGTTGTTTGGCACAGTGTTGTGAGCAGATGGTCTTGGGGAACAGATTTGGAGGAAATTGGAGGAAATATTTTGGGCATAAAACCAGAGGTGAACTACAGGGGACAGAGTGTATATTTTGAGGGTAATACTTCAGATGCCCTTTTCCATAGGAAGGAAAAGCACATAGCCCTGCGATTGAAGGTGTAAATGACAGACTGCCTAGGGGAAGTAAAGGACAGCAATACTTTTCTGTCCTGACCCTTTCTGTACAAATAGGTGAAAGAGGCCATTGGCACAAGTGTGCAGAAGAGCAGGGTGAACACTGGTGAGCAAGATGAGTGTGGACTCCTGAACAGAAGTAGATGCTGCTTGGGACTTTGGGGGCTCCAGACAGAGAAGACCTCGGAAGCACCTGGATGAAGCCCCTCAGAAACCTGATCAGGGTAGATGTGTATGGTTATAAGTGCTGCTGGCAGCTGATGGCCAGGAGCCCTGGTAGGCTGGGATCATTGCAGGGTGTTGTCAGCAAGGAATGCCTGGCTTCTAAAACTCACCAGCTGAGTCTTAGAGGCTTCTTTGCCAAGCTGTTTTCAGGCAGCCAAATTGGCCCCAGGCAGGGACTCTGAGCCTTCTCTCCCGTCGTTCCCAGGGATCTCTGGGCCTTCACGCCGGCACCGAGATGTTCTCGGGAAGGCCCTCAGATCCCCGGAGCAGTCTGGGACACGGGCAAGATCCCCCTGCATTTCGGGGGCAGATTGGGCCCCCCTGGAGGGACAGTGCTGTAGCTGCCCCCCGGACTGGGACACTTGGAGAACTCCAGCGCGCACCGAAATTGTTCTTCGGGGAGCTCCTCCGGGTGCCCCAAGCTGGGGAGCTGAAAGCAAAGTCCCTGGAATGGATTCAGGCATTCCTGAGAGTATCAGAGGTGTAGTTGTCCATCCTGGCCATGCAGCTCTGGAATGGACTGTAACTGGGTTATAAAAGTGGTGCTCCAGCTGCAGAAGGAGCATGGGATTGGAATTAAGGAATGAGTGGTGATGGTGCCGTTAGTTGTTTTCTCTTGACTGGAATTGTGAGAGCTGCAGGAGTGCAAGGTGTGGGTTCCAGTCCCCACCGTTTGGTTTGCACGTGTCCTGGTCAGACACAGGTACAGCATCCTCAGCCCTTAACACACCAGAGGGAGAATTAAGGGATGGCACTGGGAAGGTGATGGGTGTGACAGGGTGTCCCAGTTTAAATGAGACAAGAGTCTTTTGCTGAGGATGAATTAGGAGGAAAAGACCCAAACTTCTCTTTCCAAGCAATTATAAATCCAAAATTAAGAGGCTTCGATTGAAGGAAAACAAATTATGGAAAAGGGAAAAAATAACAGCCCTTTATTAAAAGGTATGTGTGTATTAACAGGAACACGGGAAAAAAAAAACCCAAGTAAAATAACTAAGTAATACTCCTATACCCACCAATAATCCCCTTCATGAACAAAACCGATAAACCGGCAAAAGGAAAATAGTTCAATTTC